TCATGGATAATGAAAATGCTCTAAAATTGATTATGTTGATGGTTGCACGACTCTGAACATACTAAAAACCATTGAGTTGCATACTTCATAATGAGTGAAGCCTATGATATGTGAACTACAGATCAATCAAGCTGTTTTTAAAAAATAAGTTACTTGGCCGGACGTGGTGGCTCATGCCGGTAATCCCAGCACTTTGGGAGGCTGAGGTGGGTGGATTACCTGAGGTCAGAAGTTCGAGACCAGCCTGGCCAACATGGTGAAACCCCCATTTCTACTAAAAAATATACAAATTAGCCAGGCCTTTCGGCAACACCTATAATCTCAGCTACTCGGGAGGCTGAGGCAGGAGAATTGCTGGAACCTGGGAGGTGGATGTTGCAGTGAGCTGAGATTGTGCCATTGCACTCCAGCCTGGACTGGCAACAACAAGACTGTCTGAAAAACAAGCTTACTTTTGGCACAATGAAAGACATAGTTAGGGGATACCATGAGGCAGTCTTTTTATGGTGATAAGACAGTTCCGTATCCTGATTATGATGATGGTTACTTGCATCTACACATGGGCTAAATGTTCACAGTACTATTCACTTTGGAAATATAAATAAGTAAATATATTTTTTAAAGAGCATGTAACAACAAACCGGGGAAATCCAAATAAGGTCTGTACCTAAGTTTATAGCATTGTATAATACTAATGCTAAGGTTCTGGGTTTGACATGTACTGGAGTTATGTAAGGTATTGCCATTGGGGGAAGCTGGGTGAAGGGCACATGGGAACTCTTGGTACTATTTTTGAAGCTTCTTGTTAAATTTAAACTATTTCAAAATAAAAATGGTATTTGTAAATTTTGTTTCAGACTTCTCCCTTCTCCTTTCAAATCACAGGGAGTCCCTTTTTCAAACAAATATATTCCTAGACATGGTTGAATGATCAGAGGTGGGCACCGGACCCAGCCAGGTTCATAGGAATTTTTTCCCTGGATTTTTTAAAACCTGTGTTTAATATAATACATTGTATTATTATACTACAGGTGTTGGTATTCTTCCATTGATGACTCTTTTGGAGTGTTTCCAGTTTTGAGCTATTATAAATAAAGCACTATAAAATTTTTTTTTTCTCTTTTTTCTTTGCAGAACTTACAATCTTTGAAAATTCTTGTACAAGTCTTTTGGGAGACGTTTGTTGTCATTCCTCTTGGATAAATGACTAGAAATAAAATTCCTGAGTCATATAGTATGTTTACTTTGTAAGAAACTGCTAAACAGTTCTCCAAAGCAATCATACCATTTTACATTCCAACCAGCAATGTATGAGAGTTCTGTTTGTCTCATATTCTTGCCAATATGTGATATAGCTAGTCCTTGGTTTTAGCCTTTTTAGTGAGTATGAAATACTGTCTCACTGGGATTTTATTTTGCATTTCCCTGATGTCTAAAGATGCTTACCAATTTTTCATGAGCTTTATTGGCCATTTGTATATCTTCTTTTCTGAAATGTTGGTCAAATATTTGACACTGGAAGACCAATGATGCAACCATGTAGGTGGCTTCTTCCACACGGTATGCATTTTACCTATCATATTATAGTAGATCAAAGCCAAGACAAGAAAAGCACTTAGCAGTTCAAGCCTGACATTGAAATATCCTGGGGTTAAGTTGAACATTTTAGTGATATTATACAGAAGGGCTCTGCTTCTGCCTTCTCACCAGCCATTGATGCCAAAGTGCCTTTCCTATATATTCTTGGGCAGCTTCCTCATCTTTTCTGAACTTTTCCTTCCTCCATTCCTACCAGGCAGGCTACAGAGTCCTGACAATGAGTAGCTCCTGCTTGTCCTACCAAGTTTCCTTCATGGCTGAAGAGAGACTTCACCTTCTACTTCCTGTCCTATAATTCAGCTGTTAATTATCTTTTCTGAGTGCATGGATAAACAAGCAAATGAATAAATCAATAAGAAGCTAAGTCATCAGGACCTGAGTACAAACCCATCATGATAGTAACTGGCATCTCTATGAAGCACTGTAGTTTATAACATGCTTTTACATATAAAATTTATTTTTATCTTCAAAACAAAGTTGTGGGGCATTATTACCATCTCCATTTTACAGATGAGGAAAATTAGGGCTCAGGGAGGTTAAATGAGTTGACCATGGTCATCTTCCTTGGCTGTTGTTCCTGAGAAAGGAGAGCTGTGCCTGGGATTCACAAATAATGACATGGTGGAGACAACCCAGTCTCTATTACTACAGACCAGTGTTGGGAAGGAGGCAAGTGGGCAGAGGGCAAGGGAACCAAGCGAGCCCGAGACGCTGGATTCTTTTAACTCCCAAAAGTGCTGACCTAGGGTAGCTCAGGGAACAAGGGCAGGTCTTTGTGTGATATGAATTGAGAAGTCTTACCAGGAACCCCCACCAGAATCTACTTCCCTGGGTATACACTGTACCCCAGTTTTCATAATCATTCCTCTCCTCCTAATTAGGACAGTACTACTTAAACTTTTCCATTGAAGTTTTCCAATTGCTGAGGCCATTTAGTCATTAGGGATGATTTGAGTCCCCACCACTGAGGCCAGGAACCCCAAATCTGTTAGGACTCCCCAGAGGCTGCCAGAGAATTGTGTCACTGAAGAGTCTTAGGAGCGGGCAACTGATTCAAAGGGGCAGGGGACAAAGCCATAGAGATTTATTTGTATAGCACAGACATTGCTTACATATAGATTGTGTTTTTACTTTGGGGAAGTTTTGGGGACTAAGGGAGATTATGACAGGCACCAAGGTCCCCTCAAGCCCCTCCTGGAAATGTCAGTATAACTCACAAGTCCAGCTCATTCTTGGTATCTCTGAGAAGAGATGAAGAATTAGTCAGTATATTTCTTCTTAGTGATAAGAAATTTCTAAGATCCTTATGCAATAGTATACACACTTAACCATCCACTGGGTCAGCAGGGTATCGCAGTTAAGAGTTGGGCTTTAGAGTATAATAAACTTAGGTCATGCCCCTTACTATTATTCTACCAACCGTACCATACAAGGTCAGTGCATATTAACTACCTTATTATTACTGGTGGAGAAAATATAAAGTGACAAAAAACCACTTTGGACTTAGTTAACTCATACTAATTTGCATTTTAGAAATTTCAACAGCACCTACAAACACTTGAAAGAGAGTAGTATAAAACCTGTGACTGGTATTATTTATCCAGACCACAGACAATGCTTTGTATCTAGATTGATTTGGACCTGTTGCAACAATTGCTCTGCAGGGTCATTTGTTTATCATGCTGGCACTTCTGATACAGTGGAAGAGCATGGATTTTGGAATCTTACAGACGTGGGTTCAAATCCTGGCTCTGTCACATGCTAACTGTGCCATCTTTGACAAGTTACCTAGCTTCTCTGAGTCACAGTTTCCTTGTCTCTAAAATAAGGGATAATACCTGCCTCACAGGGCCAGTGGAGGATTGAGTCATATAGTATCCATAGGAACCTGACAAATGTTGCCTGTCGAATAAATGTTCAATCGTTCTCTCACAGTTTGAGTGAACAGAACAATTCACATCAGTTTGAAAACGATTGGTTGAGTTGCAGCATCCTGACCATTAAGACCCCCATACCTAGAAGGACTCATAGCCCCGCTAACTGAGAGCAGAAAGATAAGTATTCTTCACATTCAACAATGCTTTAAATGTGTTATTAACACTTTCTTCCTCCAGTACATGTACGGACAGCCCCAGCCTCCACCTACTCTCTTTTACCTAACTTATAATTCTTTCTTAACTTCTTAATCTCCCTTTCTTGAACTTTCTTATTGCACTTAGCCTGGAAGCCCAGGTAAGTGGCTCTACTCATCCTGTAGTGAAGTGGGTCATGGGCACGATAGTCTGTGTGTTTCTAAGGCCTGCCTCAGGGCAGTTAGACTCCTGCAATATCCCTTATTCAGGAGCCGTTCTGACTGCAGTGTTCATGGTGGTGGAGCAGACCCTCCATGGGTCACTTTCCTGAGAGTCAAGCGGGGAATCATCCATTGGCTCAGAACAAAGGCTAGAGGCTGTGCCATGGCAGTCTGTTCTACAAGCAGGAAGGCAGGCAGGGCAGAAGTGAATGCCAGTGGACTGTGCAGACCTCAGCTTGGGGAGGGCATGTTCTCCTGGGAGTGGAGGTTGTTGTTTCATTGCCAGGGAGCTGGAAAGTTGCCTGTGGCTTTGTCTTCCCATTTCCCATACAGCTGCCTTGCACCTTTCTTCACTTGGTGGATGTGGGGAAGGATTGCGTGCAGACTGAGAAACTTGCTACGCTTATGGAAGGACCCAGACCAGACTTCTCTCTCTCCTCAGGGCAATGTACTTTGCCTGTTTCGAGAATGTCCTTTCCATTTCCTGCACAATGCGCTTCCTCTCTTCCTCTGGTCATAAGCCTGAAGAAAGATACTCTCTCCTAGAAGAAGTTTTTATCCCAGGCTAAATCCTTTTTTCCCATATCCTTTGCAATTGGATGTCCCAGAGCAGGAGGCCACACTTGCATCCGTTTGTCGGAAGTGGGATTGGAGTAAGGAGCCAAGTTCACCTGTCATGACCATGTGGCATAGTGGTTTGAGATCATGTGCCATATTGGTATGGGGATCATGTGACATTGGAATGGGGAACAAAGAGCAGGAGACTCAGCATTTCAGGTAAATAACCAATTCAAGAATAACAATTGCTAGTATTTCCTGTTATCTTTTTAAAGCAAATTATCTGCTTTTTATTCACAAATTTAGAAGCTGTTTGGCATAATTTTAGATACCTAGAAACAATCTATCAAAATATGCCTCCTCAGCAACCTGGGGGTTCATTAGGTTAATTAATTAATAGTGGTTAATAAACTCTTTGAAATCCTCTTATTAATGGGGTCACCTAAGTCCAAAGTACTATTATAACCAGGCCTAATGAGGTCAGTGGTTTAAAGAGAGGGTTTTAAACCATATATAAAGCTCCTCTAATGATCGTTGGTACAAGACGAAGGTTAGAAAAGTCAGGTGAGTCTTCATGCTGTTCTTTAAAAGTTTCCTCAACAGCAGTAGAACCCCATTGATATCTACTCAGCTGAAGCCAGGTGCGCAGTGATCTACTGACTAATGGATTCTCCAATTGTTAAACCTGTGTTATAGGACAAAGGCCACTGCTTTGTGAAAGCTTGAAGTGCAGTTTGCTGCTGAGTACAGAAGACCTTTGCAGACAGAGAGGAGGGATTTTCTCTGTAAGGTTGCAAACAAGGTTAGTGCTGGCTTTCTTATATCTTGTGAAACTTAAAAGCTACCATTTCAATGAGACCAAGAATAGACTTGACTGAGGAAGAAATGGAAAACAGGAAACCTCCTCTAAGTTATGTTCTCTGATGCTCCTGTTGTTATTTTATTTTGTTTTCCTTATGGAGACCCCAGTATGAGAATGGGAACACTCAGGCATGGTGGCATGCACATGTGGCCCCCAGCTACTCGGGAGGCTGAGATGGGAGGACTGCTTGAGCCCAGGAGCTTGAGGCCATAGTGAGCTATGATTATACCACTGCACTCCAGCCTGGGTGACAGAGCAAGATCCCATCTCTAAACAAACAAATAAAAAACCAAAACTCATCCTTGAAGGCAAAGGTAGGGCAAGTAACTAGAATGAAAGGATCAGTATTTTTTTTTTAAAGAAAGGGAACAAAATTGTGGGGTCACCAAGCTTAGAGATGGGATAGAAGTGTATATTTGGTTGCATAAGTAAGAAGAAATGCATAGCCCGTGTCAATGTGAAATTGGATTGAAGAGAGCTGGGAGTTTATACTTAGGAAAGAGCGTGATCCAACAAACCATGTACTGAGCCTGTGAGAATACTATCTTGAAACTGGAAAATGAGTATTGAATTGGAAATAACTCTGCATTTTTTAAAATATGAAAGCAAATTTTTCTTTAGGAAACTTTCAAGTTTTAAAATTAACCAGTTTCTATGTCAAATCAGAACAGGTCCTGGAAGATAAGATTCCCCACCATGCTGTCCTCTGTGGTGTTCTGGGGACTAATTGCCCTCATTGGTAAGTCATTGGCTGAGATTCAGCATTGTTCACAGGGTGTCCACGAAAACCTCCAGCACAATCATGAATCAGAAAGAGCAATGAAAGTGGGCTCTCTTTCTGACCAGCTTGGCCATTAATCAACTATTATTTCTATAATTAACAGCATGTTCTGCTTGCTAAGCAGGTGAAAAACAGGATCAAATAATCCTGTGGGAATTTCAAATAATCTCGTATTTATTGATCTGCTTACTTCCTGTCTGACAATATACCTATCAGGCTTGATATCTTACTGAGAGCTATCTGGAACAGGGCCTTGGAAGCAAAACACATGAAGAGAAAATTATCAATGCCAAGCAGTGGATGAGAGTTAAATGTGAACAGGCGGGAAAAAAGCACTAGCCTGGGAGGAGTTTGGGAGGAAGAGCTCACATCCAGCTAGGATACTTAGACATGAAAGGCTTTTTGGGGGGATGTGTCAGTTGAAGAATGCTTGGTGATTTAATAAGAAAAGAGAAGAAGCCGGGCGCGGTGGCTCAAGCCTGTAATCCCAGCACTTTGGGAGGCCGAGGCAGGTGGATCACAAGGTCGAGAGATTGAGACCAACCTGGTCAACATGGTGAAACCCCGTCTCTACTAAAAATACAAAAAATTAGCTGGGCATGGTGGCGTGTGCCTATAATCCCAGCTACTCAGGAGGCTGAGGCAGGAGAATTGCCTGAACCCAGGAGGTGGAGGTTGCGGTGAGCCGAGATCGCGCCATTGCACTCCAGCCTGGGTAACAAGAGCAAAACACCGTCTCAAAAAAAAAAAAAAAAAAAGAGAGAAAAGAGAAGAGCCTGCTGGAGAGGAAGAATGACTTCAGGAAAAGAGCAGAGGCAGAAATGAATGAAAAGTCTTTGGGTTAGTGTGGCCAGGGACAGAAGAGGGGATTTCTGGGGGGAAGGCTGGAAAGTTAGGTTGGTGAGTTGGTAAAGGATCTTGAATAAGAAAATGTTAAAGCTTTGACTTAAGCAAAATGAAAAGCCATTATGAGCAATGTTCAAGTTGTCTTTAATTATAGAATAATGACTGAAAAGAAAGTGTTTCTAAAATGTTTAATTCTAAATTTGGAAAAACAAGGCTACCCAAAACTAATTTCCAGTTACTTATGGTCAAAAGCAGGGCAACATAGTTTTAAATTTTTGCTCCTTTTAAAATTCCCAGGTGAGAGCAGAGTTAAATAGCCAGCAGATTGATTATGAGCTACCATATTAGCTGTGTATAGCTGAAAGGTGACTCTAATTTAAAAAGCACCTGTGTGCTTATAATGCCTGCACAGGCAGTGTAGGGCCCATGGTCATATTCCATTTCCCTTAAAGCAGTGGTTCATAAACTTATCTGTAAGAGTCAACTGGGAATGCTGGTTAAAGTGCAGGTTCTTTGGCCTTATACTGCAAGATTCTGGTTCAGTAGATCTGGTGTGAAGAGCCCAGTGATAAGCATTTTTAATAAGCATCCTGGGTAGCTTGGATGCCTGTGGTCTGTGGGCCACTCAGTGAGCCTGGCAAAGACTGCCTCCCAGTGAAAGGATATTGAACCTGTCAATATATGGACACTTGATCCAGATAATTTGATAATTTAAACAACCCCTTTCTGACTCATTCCTTCATCCATCCAACTATCCATTCATCCATTCAGCAAATGTTTATTGAATGTCTACTTTGTGCCAAGCATTGTTACAGGTGCTGAGGAGGATATAGCAAAGAAAAACATCTAGTATCTGACCTAATGAAATTTATCTTCTAGTGAGATGAATTGGCAGAAAGAGAGTGAGAGGAAAAAAGGGAGAGGGAAAAAATGAGAGGAAGGAAGGAAGATAAAAACATTTCACCTGTAAAAAGTTTTTATGTGTTTCTAACATATAAGGACCAGCTCTAGCACAAAAAATTGTTCCTGGTTCATCTTGAACGTTTCCTGCCCCAGGCCAGCAATCAGCCATTATCCTGAGGAGCACTGGTTCCTCTTAGCAGACAATGGCATTTAGAAACCACAGTATGAGAAGTAGGAGTGCTCCATTGCTATGGAGTTGTAATTTCTTTCAGATGTTTTCAGTGGCAGGAAATAGAAAATACATATTTAAAAAATAAAAACAATTATGCATTAAGATATTTCACATTTATATTAAGGAATGCAAACATTTTACATCAGTTTTATATTTGTACTTCTGCTATCTTACACTAAAAATCCTGTGAGAATACTATCTTGAAACTGGAAAATGAATATGACATTAGCATTGTTACTCATTTACATATAGTAGTGTCTAATGACATTAGACATTAGCATTATTTACATATGCAATTTGTGAATAATGCTAATTTACATAAGTAAATTACTTATTTACATACAATAGTGTCAAAATAACTATGACAGTATTATCAATCAATAATGAGATAGTCAATATAATTTAAGATTTTCTTGTGAGTATTTATGTTCATAGGATGTATTTCTATGTAGCATTATACATGTGGATATATTTTAAAGTCACATGAGATAATTATGCTCTATGTGTTTATTAATCTTTTAATTTGATATGGAGTTATGTTCATTTGTTTTTCTTTTTTGATTCCTTTTTCCCTATTTCATTTAATTTTTAAATGTATGAGAACATTTACATGGTTCCAAAATAAAACTTTAAAAAAGATACAATTAGTCTATCCTCTATCCCTTTTCCCTCTAACTTCCTCTTTCCCTCCCCATAACTAACAATTTTTATTAGTTTCCTGTTCATCCTTGTATTGTTCCTTTTGAAGATATGAGCAATTCACACAAAATAGACAATTGTATTTTCTCCCCTTTCTTACACAAAGAGTCCAGTTCTATAAATAGTATTCTGTCCCTGGAGAGAATTTTACAGGAGTATATCCAGGTCTTACTCATTCCTTTCACAGCTGCATAGTACTCCACTATGGATGTAGCTTCACTTACTCAACCAGTCCCTACATCGATGACATTTGTGTTGTTTGCAGTCCTTTGCTGTTATAAACGGTGCTGAAATGAGCAGCCTATCACAAAACTGTGTTCCACAGCAGTGCATGAGACAGTCTATTTCCTCACAACCTCTCCCACAGCGCATATTGCCAAAGCTTTGAACTCTTGCCAACTAAAGAGTTGTAAAATGCTGTCATAATGTTTTCATGTGACCTTTCTCTTCTTTTGAGTGTGGTTTAACATCTTTTATATCTTTAAAAACCATTTTCATTTTTTGTCTATAAACTGTTTACATATTCTGCTGATAAGGTGATACTTGGACAGAGACCTGAAGGCAGACTCATGTAGATACCTGAAGGAATAGCATTCTAGGCAAAAGGAAGCACAAACATAAAGGCTTCAAGGCTGAAACGTGCCTGGTATGTTGAGGGATAAGTGCAAAGAAGAATGTGGCTGGAGGAGAGTGGGTAAAGGGAAGAAGTGGGAACAGGAGCAGAGGGCTAGATCTAGTAGGTATTGGAGGCTGCAGGATGGACTTGACTGTTCCCTAAAGAGGGAGAAAGCCACTGGAAGGTTAAGAGAGAAGACTGATAGCAGCCCATGCATATCCCATAGGGTCATTCTGTCTACTAGGTAGAGGATGGGCTGCAAGAGTGAAGCAGTGAGGTCAGTTAGGGGGCTGTTAGGAGAGTCCAGATGAGCAGTGATGCTGGTCTGGACCATGGCAGTCACAGAGGTGGGAGAAGTGGCTAGATTCTATTTTTTTAAATGTCAAACATTTTAACTATATATATATATATATATATATATATATATATATATATATATATATATATTTAGATTTGAGACAGGGTCTTGTTCTATTGCCCAGGCTGGAATGCAGTGACACCATCAAAGCTCACTGCAACCTCGACCTCCTGGGCTCAATCAATCTTCCTGTCTCAGCCTCCTGAGCAGCTGGAATTACAGGCATATGCCACCACATCAGGCTACATTTTGTGTTTTTTGTAGAAATGAGTTTTGCCATTTGACCTAAGCAAAATGAAAAGCCGTTATGCTTTTCATTTTGCAAAAGCCTGGGCTCAAGCAATTCTCCTGCCTCAGCCTCTCAAAGTGCTGGGATTCTAGGCATGAGCCACCACATCCAGTCCAAAGTACTGTCTAATAACAAATATTTGGATTCTTAAGGTTCAAGTTAACAGTCCTCAAAGCCATTAGAATGAGCTTTTCAGTATTACAGAAAATAACCTTGTATCTCCTTTGGCAAAAGCTCTACCTCTCCTTTAACAGGGAGACTGGGACAGAAACATGTGCTGCCTCCTGCACTGCACAGGGGTTTAAGGACCTAAGAGGGAACAGTAGGGGATAAGGAAAGACACAGACACAGACAGAGAGATATAAAAACCTGGACCAGGCGGTCCGGGAGGTGAGGATGTCAGTCTGTCTGGCCCTGACCTAGCTCAGCATACTTTATTTTATATGTTCACAAAGCACATAGCAGAGGGAGGGTGCCGTTACTTAGAACAGCCTGTGGTTATTATTCTCCTACTTCAGTTAACATACTTCAGCTAAAAACTATGTTGCAGCAAGGTCAGCGAAAGCTAGTTATCTCTCTAGGTCCTTCTGTTCTTCTCTGAGACATACACATCCTCCTATTGTGGTTTCACTTCCCTGAAGTTCAACCAAAGTTCACAGCAGCCGTGAGGGGGTGTGCTACTCCAGCTCCCTACAGAAATCATTTTTTTTTTTTTTTTTTTTTTTTTTGAGATGGAGTTTCGCTCTTGTTACCCAGGCTGGAGTGCAATGGCGCGATCTCAGCTCACCGCAACCTCCGCCTCCTGGGTTCAGGCAATTCTCCTGCCTCAGCCTCCTGAGTAGCTGGGATTATAGGCACGCGCCACCATGCCCAGCTAATTTTTTGTATTTTTAGTAGAGATGGGGTTTCACCATGTTGACCAGGATGGTCTCGATCTCTCGACCTCGTGATCCACCTGCCTCAGCCTCCCAAAGTGCTGGGATTACAGGCTTGAGCCACCGCGCCCAGCCTAGAAACTCATTTTTTAATGACAGAACAAAAAACAAGAATAGATTGGACTTAAATTATTTTGGCAAATTCAATTTTTACTTCTAATTTTATTAAATAGACATACATAGGAACTCAGCTTCATGGTAAATGATATAAAATAAGAATATATTTAAATTGCTATGGCACCCTTCTTTCTTATTTTTCTAAACAAAGGCAAATTGTTAATCCAGATGTTCACATCCCCTGAAACATTTGTGTCAGAAGTGTTTTAAAATTCCTCTCAAAACAAGGTGGGCGTGGTGGCTCACACCTGTAATTCCAGCACTTTGGAAGACTGAGGCTTTTGGTCAAGAGATTGAAAAACAACACATACCGGGGATTCTAAAAGGAGAGAGGGAGGGAGGAAGGGAAGGAGGGAGGGAGGGAGGCAAGGAATGAAAAACTACCCAAGAGGTACTGTGTTCACTATTTGGGTGAAAGATCAGTAGAAGGCCAATCCTCAGTATTATACAATAGGCCCAAATAACAAACCTGCACATGTACCCCCTAAATCTTAAAAAAGAAAGAAAGAAAAAAGGCCAAAAACAAAACTCTCAAGGTTCCTGCTGAAAAACCTTCTGTCAGTTTTAATACTGAGTGAGACTATAGCATGGTATGACTACAGTGCCTATAATCCCAGCACTTTGGGAGGCCAAGAAGAGAGGATTGCTTGAGCCCAGGAGTTTGAGACTAGCTTGGGCAACATAGCAAAAACCCATCTCTACAAAAAGATAAAATAAGCCAGGCATGATGGTGTGTTCCTGTGGTTCCAGCTACTCAGGAAGCTGGGGTTCTCAGCAAATGTTTGAGCCCAGGTACTGGGGGCTGCTGTGAGCTATGATCATGCCACTGCACTGGCTTGCGCCTGTAATCCCGCTACTTGGGAGGCTGAGGCAGGAGAATTACTTGAACCTGGGATGCAGAGGTTGCGGTGAGCCGAGATCATGCCATTGCACTCCAGCCTGGGCAACAAGAGCGAAACTCTGTCTCAAAAAAAAAAAAAAAAAGAGAGATGAATGTCCTAATATTTTGCATAGTGTTTTAGTATTAAGTGCTGTGTTGATACAAAACAAAACAAAAGATCGGAGTAGAGTGGATATTGGGGAACTTCTCTCTGATGAACAAATAATGGCAACAAGGGAGTTGGGCAGTTCTGTCTGTGGCCTTCACCTTTGGTTTAGTGATGTTCATTGCAGCTACCCAAGCAGTATCTTCTCACAGGCTTCATGTGAGTTACGCTTCTGCCTCCTAGGCACTTCCAGGGGCTCGTACCCCTTCACTCACTCAATGAACCCTCACCTACATCCGCGCCTTTACCACGGCTGCTACGGGGACATCATGACCATGAAGACCTCTGGAGCCACCTGTGATGCAAACAGTGTGATGAACTGTGGTAAGCGAAAAGCAAAGCAAACGTTTGGCTTTCCCCCTTTGATCATTTGCAGATTCTTTCTTAGGAACTGACTTAATTTTGAAAAGGTATCATCATCATTATGACAATAGTATCAAAATTAAAAATGAACAAAAAACACAATCCTGACCAACCTAACAATCCGTTTCTTTTCATTTTCCACCCCTATTCTTTCCAAACCTTGTTCAGCTGTGTTTATTTCCACATATTGAAACTACTGCTTGAATAAACTACTGCTTGACTCTGGCTTTGTTTTCTGGGTGGTGCTACTGTGTTTGCTTCATGTTACAGCAGGCATATCTGAAGGAAGCCAGGATGCTCTTCACAACTCCCCTCTTCTGTAATCCTGTTCCAAAGTCTTCTTCATCATGTTACCCTGATTTTAGGGTGTTGGAGCTGGCAGCAACCACAAGATCACATCAGACCCCAACCCCTTGATTTTACAGATCAGAGCCCAGAGATTCAGCAAGAAGGGGAGACTTCCCAGTAGCATAGAACCAGGTAGTGGCAGAGCCAGGCTAAAACATACATTGGCTGACTCCTAGTCCAACAGGTTTCCCAGTGCATCAGTGTGGCAGATTTTATTTTATTTATTTATTTATTTTTTGAGATGGAGTCTTGCTTTGTCACATAGGCTGGAAAGTGATGGCACGCTCTTGGCTCACTGCAACCTCCACCTCCCAGGTTCAAGTGATTCTTCTGCCTCAGCCTCCTGAGTAGCTGGGGTTACAGGCACCTACCACCATGTCTGGTGAATGTTTGTATTTTTAGTAGAGATGTGGTTTCACCATGTTCGCCAGGCTGGTCTCAAACTCCTGAGCTCAGGTGATCCACCTGCCTCAGCCTCCCAAAGTGCTGGGATTACAGGTGTGAGCAATTTGAAGGAGGAACAGAGCACAAGCGGCACCTGTTGGAGGTTGTGGACCTGTTTCTGCAGTCAGAGATCAAAAGGATGTCTTAGAATAGTTGTCCCAAGCCACTAGCAGTGATCAGAGGCTGTGGCTAACTTAGCAAATTTTTAAAAATGGTTTTCTTCTCAAGTAGAAGAAACAGTTTCTTTTCTTTTTTTAATTTTAAATTCTTTTTTTTTTAAAGATGGGTTCTCACTATGATGCCCAGGCTGGTTCCTAACTCCTCCTGGGCTCAAGTGATCCTCCTGTTTCAGCCTCCTGAGTAGAAGGGACTCACTTCAGGCACCCACTCATGCCCAGAAAAACAGTTTCTTTTCTATTTACGTAGGGATCCGTGGTTCTGAAATGTTTGCTGAGATGGATTTGAGGGCCATAAAACCTTACCAGACTCTGATCAAGGAAGTCGGGCAGAAACACTGTGTGGACCCTGCTATCATCGCAGCCATTATCTCCAGGGAAAGCCATGGTGGAGCTGTCCTGCAAGATGGCTGGGACCACAGGGGGCTTAAATTTGGCTTGATGCAGGTATTTAGCTAGAAACTCTCTATCCACCCCACTTCATCCCTCCTCAGAAGCTCAACCCCAACTAGAAATCCATCTGCAGTGCTTCCAAGCCCCAAAATACCCTGCTACCTGGCTACAGGTACTCCAGCATAATTTTTTTTTTTTTTTTTTTTTTTAAGACAGTTTCATTCTTGTTGCCCAGGCTGGAGTGCAATGGCATGATCTCGGTTCACTGCAACCTCCACTCCCGGGTTCAAGTGATTCTCCTGCCTCAGCCTCCTGAGTAGCTGGGATTACAGACATGCACCACCACCCCCAGCTAAATTTTTGTGTTTTTAGTAGAGATGGGATTTCATCTTGTTGGCCAGGCTGGTCTCAGCTTCCTGACTTCAGGTGATCCACCCTCCTCGGCCTCCCAGAGTGCTGGGATTACAGATGTGAGCCTCTGTGCCAGGCCACTCCAGAATAATTTGATCTGAGACTTCTGTAACACATCTTTATATTTCATTCAAGGCTTATTCTTTATTAGATATCTTTTAAAAAGTATTTTAGGAGTTTCATACCTACCATTCTGCAATAAATAATACGTAATATACTAAAACTGAGAAAGTCTTATAAACAGCATTATTGTTACAAGTATTCTCTTGGGGTTCATGAAGTAGTAAATTTCATCCATGTGGATCAAAAAGACTATACAATTAAGCCCTACTTGAAACAACTTGTTCCTCTGGGCAAACTGGAAGAAAGGGATCCAAATTATCTGGATATTTGCTTCCAGGATGGATTTTAAATTGTCTGTAGAAATACAGACTTCTAGTCTTCCCAGTTAGAAGCAAATTTTTAACTGAATTAGCTAAATAATTATTTCTTACTATAAAAGTCATAAATGTCTAGACCAGGCATCCTCAAACTTTTTACGCAGGGGGCCAGTTCACTGTCCCTCAGACCGTTGGAGGGCTGCCACATACTGTGCTCCTCTCACTAACCACCAATGAAAGAGGTGCCCCTTCCTGAAGTGCGGCAGGGGGCCGGATAAATGGCCTAAGGGGGCCGCATGCGGCCCGCGGGCCCGGCCGTAGTTTGGGGACGCCTGGTCTAGACTTTGGGTGTTGTTTTAAAACAACTTTTTGGGCCGGGAGCGGTGGCTCAAGCCTGTAATCCCAGCACTTTGGGAGGCCGAGGCGGGTGGATCACGAGGTCAAGAGATCGAGACCATCCTGGTCAACATGGTGAAACCCCGTCTCTACTAAAAATACAAAAAATTAGCTGGGCATGGTGGCATGTGCCTGTAATCCCAGCTACTCAGGAGGCTGAGGCGGGAGAATTGCCTGAACCCAGGAGGCGGAGGTTGCGGTGAGCCAAGATTGCGCCATTGCACTCCAGCCTGAGTAACAAGAGTGAAACTCCGCCTCAAAAAAAAAAAAAAACAACAACTTTTAAATTCTTTTTTTGTATATTAGAATGTTCAGTTAAAACTGTGCCATGTCCATTTCTCCCAAACCTTACTTCATTTCTCTAACTCTCATCTCTATGAAAGAAAGAACAGTAGAATTGACTCTTTGGGAGTAAAGGCTGGTATCTATGACTTGAATATAAGGAGAGGAAATTAGGAATGGCAGAAAAATATGTTACCTCATCCAGATGCTGACTTTATTATCTGAATTTTCTAGCTTGACAAACAAAAGTACTCCCCTGTTGGTACCTGGGACAGCAAAGAACACCTGTCACAGGCTGCTGGGATTCTAACAGATGGAATTAAGGCAATCCAGAAAAAATTCCCCATGTGGAGTGTGGCTCAGCACCTCAAAGGTAGGCTGTATTCTAAGTACTCTGTTTAAATGAGCAATGAATGAGACCACTGAAGTGTGACCCGAGACTCCTTGGAAGCATTTCCACAGGGTCAGCAGTAGGCCTGGGAGGAGATGTCTAGAGGCTGCATTTGCATTTTCTGAACCACTGAGTTACTTTGAGTGGCCCTCCATCCCCAACCTCCATTTCCCCTTCTGCAGAATGTTGGGGTTCTTATTCATTGTTTATTGAGCCATTGAATGATACCTTGAAACATAGTGAGACCCTGTTTCTACAAAAAAAAAAAAAAAAAAAAATAGCTGGGCATGGTGACACACTCCAGTAGTTCCAGCTACTCAGGAGGCTGAGGCAGGAGGATTGCTTGTGCCTGGGAGGTTGAGAGGCTGCAGTGAGCATTAATTATATCACTGCACTCCAGCCCAGAAGACAGAATGAGACCCTCCCCCTCCAAAAAAAAAAAAAAAAAAAAAAACAGAAAAAAAAAAAAAGAATATGTTTGTCTACCTCTCATAGTTTTTTTCCTGTAATAAGAAACTGTCGGGCCGGGCGCGGTAGCTCAAGCCTGTAATCCCAGCACTTTGGGAGGTTGAGGCAGGTGGATCATGAGATCAAGAGATCGAGACCATCCTGGTCAACAAGGTGAAAACCCATCTTTACTAAAAATACAAAAAATTAGCTGGGCATGGTGGTGCATGCCTGTAATCCCAGCTACTCAGGAGGCTGAGACAGGAGAATTGCCTGAACCCAGGAGGTGGAGGTTGCAGTGAGCCGAGATCGCGCCATTGCACTCCAGCCTGGGTAACAAGAGCGAAACTCCGTCTCAAAAAAAAAAAAAAAAAAAGAAAAGAAAAGAAAAAAAGAAACTGTCAACAACTTTCCAAATTGTCTGAACAAACTTTTGCTCTGTGAGTATTCTCAGGACTTCAGGTACTATATATTCAAGCGGAAATCTCTGCTTGGCTGACCACAGGTCCCATTAAGGTCAGCATCTCCCAGATGGAATTAACTCACTAGCCTCCCACTATAAATTTGTTCTTTCTTCTGCATTTTAGGTGTCTTTCAGGCACCATAATATAGTCAGTCATCCCAGCCAGAAAACCAGATTGCTTTCTTAGGCTCTCTGGTTCCTTCTCTCTTCATACCCAACCACATCAATTCCTATTACATTTACCTCCGATTGGCCCATGTTATGCCCTCCACACTCTAATGGCTTAATCAGAACTGTGTCTGTTCTCTATTTCAAGGTCCTTGAAGGCAGGGATCAGGACCAGGCATCTTTTTTTCTGGGTATGAGAGCAGAGCACAATTATGTTAAATATATACCTAAGTACTAAAGATAAAATTCTAGGGTAAAACAGCACACACATGCATATGTACACATACCCAAAGAAATAGGTGTGTCTTGGGTACCTTGCAGTCAGTGTGGCACCTCTCCTGGCACACAGTAGGTGGCTTGAAAACATTTCCTGAATGAATGAGTGAGTGAATAAATGAGTGAATTATTCAATAAATGAGAGAATGTTACAAGCATTCTCAGCAGAGGATAACTGGAGGTCTAGTTCTGCCAGGCCTGGATTACATAAAAAAGCAAATCTGATTTTTGCAACAAGAAAAACAAAAGACTTTGGAAAAAGAGAAAGAAAGCAATCTGGAATTTTCCCAGTGATTCTTGGGGTAGCATGTCCTTTCAGAAAATGAGAAAAGGAGGAGGATTTGGGATTGCCTGCTTTGGAAGATTTGCCTGGAGAGCTAACATCTTGGCAATGCTCATTGCTTATTTCTGCTGAAAGTTAACATTTGAGCCTAACTCTCTGTGTTTCATTTTAGGTGGTCTCTCAGCTTTTAAGTCAGGAGTTGAAGCAATTGCCACTCCGGCAGACATAGACAATGACTTCGTCAATGATATCGTTGCCCGAGCTAAGTTCTATAAACGACAAAGCTTCTAGGCAAAGCTCTGCAGGTGGGCCAGGTTGGCAGAGTGCTCAGATGGCCACGTTTGGGAGTTTTATATCAATGTGTTATACTCAACACTGGCAAAGAAATGATTAAAATCATAAAAGAAAATTCATTTCCCGATTTTCTGAATGAAAGTAAGAATTGAAAAAAGGAAAGAAAAATAAATAGATCCACCCAGTTCACAATACGGTTCCCAGGAAGTGTACATATACATACACACACACACACACACACACACACACACACATAATTACTTTGTAGTAAATGTGAATGTCATGGCAAGTGGCATCTACGTATTTCAGTGAGGCTTCATTTTAGCCCATGATTCCAATGCCCACCTACTCCCTGTGGACCACAATTGCTAACAAGTTAAATAAGCCTTACTCAAGCTTTCATCCTTTTCCCAGTATCTGCCCAAACTACTCGGGCTTTGCTTATGAGAAGCTCCTGGCTTGAAAGCCAGCCAACTCATGAGACAATGAAGGAAATAGGGATGGAATTCTAGTTTCATAGGAAACTGAGAGCCAGCTGAGGTGAAGCTGTCATTTAAATCAGGTACACCAAGTCCTTCAAACCCACAGCAGCATCCTGTGTTTTTTATTGTTTGGGAAGATCCAGGGACTGGCTTTTCTTATTTTCAGCAGTTGCTGCCGCTCACTTTCTTTCATGGGGTCCACCCCTCACAAAACATGGCTGAAGATTAGCATGTAGGACGCAAATCAATTACGGTTCTTTGGTTGCAAGCAAAGTAACCACTTATAGAAATTTTAAGCAATAAAAGAAAATTACTGGAAGGCTAACAAAGCCAAGTGAGAAGGTCAAGGAGATGAAGAGATACCAGACAACTTTGGGGTCTGGATAGCCGGAGTGGGTTAACCATATTTTACAGCATCCCCAGTAAGAGAATGAATTAGCACCCTCACCAGTACTCACACATGTACTCCAAACACCTTTTTCTGATTATTTCATCATTCTGCGTCACTTTCATAGTGCCAGGAGAGGTTCGGAGCTGTTTATCTTGGGTCACATATGCACCTACGCCTTGGCTATTTTGCCCACACTACCCATAGCGGAGAAGAGACAACTCTCTAGAAGGAAACCATGTACTATTTGTGGCCTTTACTTCCACAGTCAGGAGAGGACACAAGCACTAACATGTTGGAGTATAAAGTGGACATGTGATGGTGTGGCCCTGCTGGGCTTCTAATTCCCTTTGGAGATGTCCGATGAATGTCTCAGACGGTCACTTTTGTTTCTGAAAAGGATTCAAAATCATGCGCATCTGCTGCTGAGCTCCCTTGGAGAAAGCCAAGTAAATCCTTCTTTGCCCACTGATCTCTCAACCCAGCCTGAAGATCTGACCCAGGCAGAACCAGAAATCCTTGTTTCACTGGGCAGGGCAATGGTCAGTTGGTGTGGCAGCCCCTCAGCGTGTAGGCTGATAGCTTCTATGACAGGTTGAGGCCCATGTTGTACCAGGTGTTAAGTATTTTTATTATCCTCCCTGCATGTGAGTCACCCAGGATGTTCTTCAGATACTCACTTTGCTCAGGAATGATTTCTTTTGGGCTTTCCCTCATATGCATGAATTTCATCTAATCACTAGCCCTTTCGATGTCACTACTTCAACAATAAAGTACATCTAGATGAGATCACTTTCAAGTAATTTGAAAAACAAGAAATGGGACGCTCACGTGTTTCCCAAGCGTATTCCCCTAGTATTCTCTTGGTGACTAGGATGCCAAGAGATATCCCATGAGAGACCTCATATTCAAGTTGTCTTAGTTTGGTTTCCCAGAAGCAGAACTTAAGGCAAGGATTCAAGTGTGGCTAGTTGGTTTTGGAACACTGGTATGAGATGGCTCGATTATACAGGAACAGTAAGACAGCCAATAAAACACGTCATCAAGCCAGCTACCATAGTGGGCACCTGAGCTCAGCCTTGCAGGAAAACTGCTAGGAATAGTGCAACACCCACACCACAGAATTATTCTGCCCAAGGTACAAGGAGTTGGGGCATTTATACATCAACTCTTGAAAGCCATTGCTTTAGGGATCTGCCTGTAGGGCTTTGGGGGAAAGTGTTAATTCTTTGGTACTCTGGTTTGCCTTGCAAAAAAGCAGCACACATTTCTGAATTTCCAAGGAAAAGGGGCTGCAGGCACAGAGGTACAAATACTGGCAGTTGGAAATCAACTGAAAATTCTGAAAGACCTAGTGATATCGGAGGGTGCTAACAGCATCGACTTTACCAGGGTTAGGTACACCTGGAGGTAGGGAATATCCTTTAAACATTGCTTGTTTTCATCTATGATTTAACAATATGGTAAGAACAATCTGAAAATACCACACAAGCTTCTTTATGTCTGGTAATTTTCATGCCAAGATTCTCCACGACCCTTTAGAATTAATAATTAGTTATGATACAGCTATCCCAGTCCTTATCCTCTTCCCATCTCCATCTAGCTCAACAGCTGATTCCCAGGGAATGGCTGAGAACAATGTCAAAGATGTTAGATGCAAATGTGGCACCATTAGATATGCTATCCAGTCATCCTCAATTTTCTTTATATTTTTTGCCTGTGCCCCTTTCAGGCATTATGAATTATTATGTATCTACATTCTATTATGTAAAATAGTGCTTCTTTTATAGTTGTCCAAAACTAGGTTCTTAGGCCAGGTGTGGTGGCTCACACCTGTAATCCCAGCACTTTGGGAGGCCAATGCAGGGGGATTACTTGAGCCCAGGAGTCGCTTGAGCCCTGGAGTTCAAGACCAGCCTGGGCAACATGGCAAAAGCCTATCTCTACAAAAAAATACAAAAATTACCCAGGCCTGATAGCACATGCCTGCAGTCCCAGCTGCTTGGGAGGTTGAGGCTCGAGAATCACCTGAGCCTGGTGAGGTCGAGGCTGCATGAAGTCAGTCATGATTGCAGCATTTCACTTCAGCCCAGGCAACAAAGTAAAACCTTGTCTCAAACAAACAAAAAATTCAAAAAACCAAAACAAAACAAACAAAAAAATGAGGTTCTTACTGCAGGATGAAGAAAAGTTGTCTTATAAATAGTTTTTTTTTTTTTAGATTTTGAAGGGAAGGCGAGGGTTAAAGTAAGACACAAAGAGAGAGAGTGGTGGCTCTATAGCAAGTGCAGGCTTTATGTCCAACGTAAGCCCTTCAGAGGTGGGGACCAGCTTAATCCCGGTGCCCACCGCTGCTTGCAGTCTGGGGCAATTACAGGCTGGGCGGAAGTGGTCTGGAAGGGGTGGGGCATGGCCTGCTGCCTGGGAAAATGTTAACATGTTCCCATGATTAGGCACTTTGGTGCTTGTTCTGGTGAAGTGTGATGTTCCTTACACTTTCTTCCAGCAGAATATAATAAGAGAGTCAGGAGGTTGGGCAGGCTGTTTCTTACAACCTGAACCCCTGCAGAATGTTTCACTTTGACCAAGGTCTGCGAAATGACAGGGGCAGGGAGGGGGGCCTACAGAATGGTACAGTTTGGACTAACAATTTTCAAAGCAAAAAAAAAAAAAACAAAACTGAAAATATTTTCCTTGCTGGACTTATGACTATATTCTCATCATTTCTTTTTCTTGGCCATTAATTCCTCACTTGCTAAGAGAACTGTGACGTAATAAGAAATACATGTTTGGTCTCTGCAGCGTGGTGCAGGGGAAGCAAGGGGAGGAAGTCTCTGCTTCCACACCTGTGACCTCTAAGAACGCTCTCCACCCTGATGATTGAAGTACTGTGTGCTGCGATGCCTTCTATTTTACAATACTAGGTAGGGGAAACATTCCCCAGGCAGACACAATATCCATTCCCACAATACAACCAGGCAAAGATGCAGCAACCACTTCTCATGAAGCCTGTTGAAAAACACTAGTTCGCCTACAAATTTTAATTCCATCAACCACTACATTCTGAACTGTGGCCTCCATTAGGACTTAATTAACAGGTTTTGGTGTTACAATACTAGGTATTAAGAAGTGTTAGGCTGGGTGTGGTGGCTCATGCTTGTAATCCCAGCACTTTGGGAGGCCGAGGCAGGTGGATCACCTGAGATCAGGAGTTCAAGATTAGCCTAGCCAACATGGTGAAATCTCGTCTCTACCAAAAATACAAAAATTAGCTGGGTTCAAGTGATTCTTGTGCCTCAGCCTCCCAAGTACCTGGGACTCCAGGCATGTGGCACCACACCTGGCTAATTTTTGTATTTTTAGTAGAGATGGGATCTTGCCATATTGGCCAGGCAGTTCTCAAACTCCTGGCCTTATGTGATCCACCCACCTCAGCCTCCCAAAGACCTGGAATTACAAGTGTGAGCCACCACACCTGGCCAGATTTTGATTCTTTTTTAATTTTGTGAGGCTTGCTTTATGGCTGATGTGGTTGATCTTAAGAGTATGTTCTGTGTGTAAATAAGAAAAGTGTATATTCTGTGATTTTTGGGACAGAGTATTCTCTAGATTGTTGTTCGGTCCAATTGGTCAAGTGTAGTTTTAAGTCCAGAATTTCTTTGTTAGTTTTGCCTGTTCTATGAATACAGTCATAAAGTTTATGCTGTTTTGTTCCTGGATTCTTTTGTTTAACATAATGCCTGTGAGATGCATGCTATTGGATGGATCAGTGGTTGGTTCATTTTTATGATTGAGTAGTATTCCATTGCATGAACACAGTACAATTTGTTTATGCCTTAGGTTGACAGACATTTTTTTGTTTTTATCCCATAGGCTGATATTTTTTTGTTTTTATAAATAAAGCTAGTATGAACATTTTACTACAAGTCTTTTTGTAGATACATGCTTTTATTTCTCTTGAGTAAATTTGCAGGAATAGAATTGTTGGGTCATAGGGTAGATGTCTGTTTAACTTTATAAGAAACTGCCAGACTGGGCACAGTGGCTCGCTCATGCTTATATTCCCAGCACTTTGGGAGGCCTAGGTAGGTGGCTCACCTAAGGTCAGGAGTTCGAGACTAGCCTGGTCAACATGGTGAAACCCTGTCTCTACTAAAAATACAAAAATTAGGCAGGCATGGTGGCGGGTGCCTGTAATCCCAGCTACTTGGGAGGCTGAGGCAGGAGAATTGCTTGAACCCAGTA